TATATATATTTGTTCAACTCTTGGAAAATTCCCCTTAAAGAGTTATGAATTAAGCTGGTTATTTAATAAACACTTCACACTGTTCTTACAATGTGCCTGCCAACTTTATTTAGGCAGGTACAATTAAGACTTCCATTTTATAGACCAGAAAATAAGGCACAGAGTCGACACAGTCACTGAGTGTCCGTGCAAGAATTGGCGCCCATCCCATGAGCGCCTCAGCTCTTGAACCACTCTTCTCTGCTGCCGCAGAATCACAGGAAGTCTCAGGGAGGCCTGAGAACTCAATTCTAGGAAAAGTATCTGTATCTGTAAGAAAGAAGGAGCAGGAAATCTAACAGTTCTCAGCTCTTGAAGGCACATTAGATTCATTCAAGGTCCTCTTTAAAAATACACTTTCTTGGGCCTCCATGAGAAAAACTCTATTCAGTTAGTCGGGGGCTTGCATCCGTATTTTTAGTCTGTAAAAGAGGAATGTTATCTGAAATCAGTGGTTTTCAAACTTTTTGTATCCCCCGGACCTTGACACGGGCCCCAATACCCTGACACGGTTACTGAGGATCCAGGAGAGAGGGAGAGAGAAGTGAGGAGAGGGGGAGAGAGAGACGGGGAGAGAGATAGGGGGAGAGAGAGGGGGGGAGACAGAGGACAGAGACGGAGTCGAGGGATGGGGGGAGAGAGAGAGAGAATGAGAATGATTTTTTTAGAGAGGTAAAAAGGGTTGGCCTTCGCCACAAACCACCTCTCAGGTTTAAGTGAATCCTTCTTTCTCTCCTGCAGAGACTGTGCCATCCTTCCAGAAATGAGCATTTTAGGACGAGAGACCTGGAATTGGCCTAAGACTCAGGTGCAGGTGGGGGAAGCATCGGATTTACAACAGTGGTCCTGCCTTCTTCCATGTGACTTCCAGTTTTAAATTCAATTCTAATTTACTCAAATCCCACCCACTATGTAAATTTGTAGGAAAATATCCTGCACTCTGCACTTCGTGGGATTTAAAACTTCCACACAGGCGCGCGTTCTTTCTTGAAGCCCCGCGATTGCTGAGCCTCGCTGGGCAGCTTGGCACCGCTGGGAGCTTGGCTCGCCCTGCCAGGGCCGACGCAGCCCATCCCGCAGGAGCCCGCGCGGGGCTCAGGGCACCCAGGACTCCGGACGCGTCCCGGCTCCAGGTGGGCCCCGGCACCGCCAACCGCAGGAAACCGGCCGAGTCCTAAACTTCTTCCAAGAGGCTGTAGCCAGCGACAGAGAGTGTCCCTCAGTGGAGCGTCCTGTGGCTGCCCAGGCCACAGCCACGGCCGAGGCGATGACACACTTCTAACCTGGGGTGCCAGCAAAGGCTGTCCGCGAGCGGCGACTCCATGTCCCGCAGCCCTCCGCCCCGTTCCGCCGCCCGCCCCCCGGTACCGGCAGCAGCGCCACCAAAGGGCACACCGCGCGGGCGCCGGCTCTGCTAGGTGCGAAGGCGGCTGAGGCCCCGCCCGGGAGGCACCCGCGCGGCTCCGGAGTGGGCCGGAGGGACGAACGGGGGCGGGACCCAGGAGCGCCCGCCCCCTGACCTGGCTATAACACCCGGCCCCGCCGGGCAGCCGCGGGCGGGTAGAGGTGCGCGCCTGGGACTTGGTGAGGCTGCGGGCTCGCGGGGCCGGGCGCAGCTGCGGCAGCTGCTGGGCGGCGGAGGCGCCGGGAGGAGGAGGAGCGGGGGACGCCGGCGGCTGGGTTGAGGGCACCGAGGCTGCCCGTGCTCCCGGTCTCCGGTTGCACGGCTCACTCCTGAAGGTGTTGCTTCCAGCTTTTGCCTCCTTAAAAGGCAGGAAGCGTCAGTGTCGGGAGACCCTGAGACCTGAGTACCGAGCCGTAGCCGGTGATGCCCCCGCCTGCCCTCATGTGTTCTCAGGTTCTTATTTTTGTTCATCTCTAGAACATGAACTTCCCGTACCTCTGGCTAGAGCTGTTGCTGCCTTTGGTAGCTGCGCTGGATTTCAACTACCACCACCAGGAAGGGATGGAAGCGTTTTTGAAGACTGTTGCCCAAAACTACAGTTCTATCACTCACTTACACAGTATTGGGAAATCTGTGAAAGGTAGGGTCCGTCTCTGCACACTTTCCCAGACCCTTAGTACTCCCTTTCAGTATTCATTAAGTATGCCCCAGCTTCCTGTCTGCTCTTCCATGCACCTACTCTGAGTGGCACAGAACGGGTCAACCGGTACCACGCGTGTTGGTTGATTTCTGCTTTTGTTGGGAGGAATAGTAGGAAGAACTGAATTTTACTGGACTTGTCCATTGTAATTCAGTGTCACTGAGTCCTTTGCATTATTGGAGTTCTGTCTTTTTGGATCTTGCAGACATTGGTTATTTGGGATGTGTGTTTTAGTTCCTTTTCAAGATAAACTCCCAAGTAAATCCATTTATCCGTTTCAATTCCCCTTTGTATGGGCTTCTTTAAATATGACTTGGACTGTTAATATCATTTCTTCAAGTCTCTTTTAAACTGAAATAATGCAGTTTTGTTGGTAAGATTTCTATGTCATATGTAATTAGTCTTTTATTTAAAGTTATGCAAAACTATCATTTCTGCAAGGTTCTTTTAATCTAAGTAGTACAATTCTGTTGGTTAGATTTGTGTCATGTATAATTAACCCTATGGCTTAAAGTTATGCAAAAAAGTGGTTCTATGATTAAAGGCTGTTTTCAAAATGTATCCATTTGAAGAAGACAATGCTAGATAATGAATATACATTAGTAGTGATTGAAACTCTTCCCAGCATTTTCATATTTATCATTAATAATTTATTGTTCTAAGTTAGAAACTACATAAAGTTATTTTCATTTTTATAGACAGCAAGTTTGAATCAAAGAAATTAAATAATTTGTTCAAGGTCTCCCAGATGGTGAATTTTATAGTCAGCACTGGCATCCATTCCGACAAGGCAAATAATTTGATCAGATACCGTTATTTCTTTGTTATTTCTTTTCTTCTTTTTTTTTTTTGAGACGGAATCTCACTCTGTTGCCCAGGCTGGAGTGCAGTGGTACGATCTCAGCTCACTGCAACCTCCACCTCCCGGGTTCAAGCAATTCTCCTGCCTCAGTCTCCCGAGTAGCTGGGATTACAGGAATGCGCCACCACACCTGGCTAATTTTTTTGAATTTTTAGTAGAGACGGAGTTTCGCCATATTGGCCAGGCTGGTCTCGAACTCCTGACCTTGTGATCCTCCTGCCTCGGCCTCCCAAAGTGCTGGAATTACAGGCGTGAGCCACAGTGCCCAGCCGAGATATCGTTATTACTTAATCATCTTTTATTATCCTGATGTTCCCAAAGAGGTTACCAGAAAACTTAGTCCTTAAATCAAAAGTTTCAAAAAGTTTATGTAATTTGGATCTCAACTTTTTGTAAGGTGTGTTCAAACTCTACCTGGATTTTAGCTCTGAGCTTTTGAGTCAATTGAGAGTCTCATAATTACCATATTCTTAATCATTTTTCAAAAAAAAATCAAGGCTATGGCTTCTATATTAAATAAAAAGTATTATATAAATGTATTTATGTACAATGCAAAGTCAACATCCTGGACTGTGTGTAATAGTAACTTTGTTTTTAAACAGCATTGCCAAAGAGTTGGTGCCAGATTACTCTGTATTACTCTATAATCCAAAATTATAGAGGTTGGGTGTGTGAGAAATCATATCTTGAATCAGCATACATATTCAGCCTTCTGAAATCATTTTCCCCTAGGGCTAGAGTAGAGCAATTTTAAAAGATCTAGGAATACTAATTTTATTAATTAAAAAATATATAGAACACAACCAGCTTGAGTTATTGTTCAGTCATCATTTCAACCACAAGACGATGAGGATGTTGTTAATTTTAAGTACTAAGTGATTTGGTAAGGTTTTGTATTTTCAAACACAATGTGCTTGTGACAGCTGGGGGCTCTCTTTCCTAATATGAATCAGCAATTGTGATCCATCCTGCATGATGTCAAACCACAATCACAGTGAAAGTCAGCAGGCTTAATTTTTTTTTTTTTTAAATTTTTACCTTGTATGCACTCTTGCGGTTAAAGGCTTGAGGAGTTATCATGTAAAAATGAAATCTGGCACTAGTGTTTAAATATTTGTGTTGAATATGTTGTTCTGAATAATAACTCAGATTAAGAAAAATCCCAAATCTGCCATTTGGCTCCAAGTGGTAGATTAAACTGTATGCCAGTAACTGGGAGTCAGTTGCCGAAGTGTCACTGCACTTTAGTGTGACAATTGAGAGACGGTGCTCCTTTGTTGGTGCTCTTTTTCACTAGATATTTTCCCTAACCATTCTGCCTTCTGGCGTAAGATAAGTTTGCTTAGAAAACAAAATTTATGACCAGGCCCAGTGACTCACACCTGTAATTCCAGCACTTTGGGAGGCCTACGCGGGAGGATCACCTGAGGTCAGGAATTTGAGGCCAGCCTGGCCAACGTGGTGAAACATTGTCTCTACTAAAAATACAAAAAATTAGCTAGGCGTGGTGGTGTGCACCTGTGGTTCCTGCTACTAGGGAGGCTGAGGCAGGAGAATAGCATGAACCCAGGAGGCAGAGGTTGCAGTGAGCCAAGATCATGCCACTGCACTCCAGCCTGGGCGACAAGAGTGAAACTCCATCTCAAAATAAAAGAAAATAACACAGAATTTATTATACATGTGTTATTTATTTATTTATATCACATGTATTAACACGGGCAGTCTTACCCAGAAAGGAAAGTAATATTCCTACATAACCAAATACATAACCAAATAGTTTTTGTAAAAACTTAAATATATGTGATATGCCTATGTAAATATATACATATCACATATTTTCTTTGTTGTAATTGTGGATTATATTCTGCTTGTTTTTTCATTTCATGTTATTTTCTTATATATTTCCATGAATTGACAAAGTCTGCAGATGTGAATTCGTTGCTGTATAGTATTCTATCCTCTTGATTATGTGAATTTTCTTAGTCATTCACCTCTGAGCATCTGTAGAGTTTTTGGTTAACTCTGTTATAAACAGGGATGCTATAAAACCATTGATACCTATCATGATAATTACCTTCTATTATTACTGGTGATTTTTAAAAACTTTTTTATTTTGAAACTTTTAAAACCCACACAAAAGTTAAGCACACAGATACCCAGCTTCAGCCATAGTAGACCATATTTCAATTGATTCTTTTGAAGGAAGTCCCATTGCCTCGCGACATAGTAAAGAAAGTCTTAGGTGAAACAAGAGATGCAAAAAAGTACTGATGACTTAGTTCAGAAAAATCAGAAAAGGTACAGTGTTCATCAGTTTGTTCATTCAAACCTCCATTCAATTAAGGAAGCACCTCCCATTTTTTGCCCCTAACCCCTTTGTCTAGAAGGATGTCTGGCACATAATCAATAATCTATATCTATTTATTTAATGGATCAAATATTTGCTGAGCAAAAGCCATGGGAGGCAAACAAAGATGTGCATCATTCATTCCCTGCCATTAGGTAGCCCATTTTCAAATACAAACATATTTACTGTGCATTTCTCAGAGTAGTCTCTCCACATACACCCCAAAATTAGTTTAGGAACATTTTATTATTTTTTTAAAAAATGAACCCTTGTGTTGAGAGTTGACTTTCAACAGATAGCAACGAAAGAGCTGCTCTGCTACATACAAAACCCCAAAGGGCCATTTTAAATGAGATTTCCTACTATCTATTTTAAGAATCTTGTCTTGGCTGAGTGTGGTGGTTCACGTCTATAATACCAGCACTTCAGGAGAAGAGCCTGGGCAACATGAGAGACTCCATTAAAAAAAAAAAAAAATTTAATTAACCAGGCATAATGGTGCATGCCTGTGGTCCCAGCTACTTGGGAAACTGATGCAGGAGAATCACTTGAGCCTGGGAATTCAAGGCTGCAGTGGGTCATGATCGTGCCACTGTATTCCAGCCTGGGCTACAGAGCAAGACCCTGTCTCAAAAAAAAAAAAGAATCTTGTCTTGCCTCTTGCTAAGTCTAATCATCATTGTATCTGAATATGGTAGGTGGGATAATAACACCTTCCTTACTAGTAATAATATTATTAGAGATTTTTTAAAGCCAGTCAAATTTAGTAGTCTCTGTTATCAAGTACTTTCTATATCGTAGATAGTTTAATACATTATTTCAATCTCAGCAACTCAAAGTAGGCGTTATCCTCATTTATAAAACAGGTAAAATGAGGCACAGAGAGGTTAATTAACTTGCTGAAGATCACATAGCTAAGTGTTAGAAGATTCAAACTCAGATCTGCCTGTTTCCCAAGCACCTCTCTGTTCTCTTTTAAAAAGCAGCTTGACACAGATGGGGATGATTCCATGGAAGTTGAGGTCATTAGTACAGGGTTTTAGGATCATGATTTGGGCACATTTGACCTGAAGGTATAGCTTCTACCAAGAATCTAGAGCTGTTCAATTCTGTAGCCATTAGCCACTAAGCAATTGAGGAGTTGAAATATGACTAGACCAAACTGAGATGTGCTAGAAAGTGGCTTTGAAGACTTAATACAAAAAAGGAAAATATTTCACTAATAATATTTTATATTGATTACATGTTGAAATAATACTATTTTAGATATGTTATGTAAGAAATATTTTTTAAAATTAATTTCAAGGCCAAGAGCAGTGGCTCACACCTGTAATCCCAGCACTTTGGGAGGCTGAGGCAGGTGGATCATCCGAGCTCAGGAGTTTGAGACCAGCCGGGGCAACATGGCAAAACCCCATCTCTACCAAAAATACAAAAAATTAGCTGGGCATGTTGGCATATGCCTGTCATCCTAGCTACTTGGGAGGCTGAGATGGGAGGACTGCTGGAGCTTGGGAGGTGGAGGTTGCAGTGAGCCAAGATTGTGGTTGTGCCACTGCACTCTAACCTGGGTGACAGAATGAGACCCCCATCTCAAAAATAAATAAATATATAAATAAAATTTAATTTCACCTGTTTCTTTTTACATTATTAATGTCACTAGTAGAAGATTAAAATTATATATATGACTTGCATTATATTTTGATCGGACTGTGCTGCTATAGAGTACAA